GAGTAAGCCCCAGAGGCAGCTGCTTTCTATCCTTTTTAAATAGAAAGTTGTCTTGAAGACTGAAACATCTTATAGGAGAGGACTTGGCCAAGAACCCAGCTGTTCAATAACCACCATGCAACATTTCAATATAGCAAATCTACCAATGTTTCACCTATAGTAAGAGCCATGAAAGCAATTAACAGCCTTCAGGTAACAAACATGGAAAGGTGAAATCCTGTAGATGCTTGCAAAATGGAGTGCATGTGTATATGTAAGTGTCTATGAGTGTGGCTGTACATACATACATATTTAAAAGTGATACAGGTCAGATAGTTAATGTCAGGTTATACATAAGAGAATATGAAACAAATTTAGACTATAAACTGCCTCAGTTTACTCTCTTCTACTGTTATATAAGAATAAAACAAAAAAATCAGTTTCTAAAGTGGTCTCCCAGACATATTTTATTAAGTAAATTTGAGCAGTAGAATTATTAAAAATATTTCTAAGGAAAGAGTAAGCTACAGCTGAACACAATGGCAGGTCCTGTTTTATTTCTACCCTCTGCAGAAACTACTCACTGATGGTTTTCTTTGTATCTGATCGCAGTTTGTCCATCACAGTAAGTAGGTGAAACCCTGAAGCCCAGTCTCAGTATAATTTTTGTGAGATTAAATCTAAATTTGCACCATGAAAATCTAGGGCACTCATTCTATGCAGAAAACCCCCACTTACGTTTTTCCTTGTATCCTGCTGCAGTCTGCCCATCATAGTGCAGCAGTCAGAAACTAGCTCAGTCTTGGCATTCTTTTGCACTAGATTAAGCCTAAACTTGTACCATCAAGATCTGGGGCACTCATAAAGGTTTATGCCAAGTAATTTTAAGGGGAGAACTGTCTGCTCCACTTCTGAAAAGCTATTTTATGTGCCTCTCCTGTAACAGAAGTAGCTGAGCGCAACACAGATGTGTTGTGCATATGGGAAGTCCATTTAGATAAAATCTTCCTTGTATGAGTCATCAGGAAAAGCTTCTTTCAAACCATGAATTACAAGAGGAGCCTAAAGATTATCTTGGAAAAATGTGGAAGGCATTTAGGTGCCCAGAGATGCACTTAAACACCTACTTAGGAGTTAAACTTCCACTAGGAGATGTTCCCACCAACTCTCAATTGTGGTGGGAAAGGCCTCTCTGACACTCACCTGAATTCCAGGATACTTGATTAAAAATTCCAATCTGCTATTTCCTTTTTGCAATCAGGTGTTTCCAACAGTCCTGAATTTTCCCCTCCCAACCCCATTGCCTCCTATTTTTTTATAAAAACGATCACATGCACGGAGGGCAAAACACGGCAGCCCCCACCTCCCAACTCCTAGTTCCTTATTGGAAGCAATATTTGAAAAAGAGTTGTTGTGTACTGTGTTTTCATCCAGCCTAGGAGCCTGAGGTAGGGGACAGAAGAGACAGTTAGTGTGAAATCCTCCTGGAAATGCATTCAGTATCCACATGATTGCTATTGAACAAGCTTTATTTCTGCTGCTGATTTACATGCAAAATATGTAAGAAGTAAAGTAGGCCCTACAGCAAGTTTTTGTTTGTCCACACTGGAAATCGTATATAGGAGCAGTGAAAGAGTTTAAAGAATCATGGGTTAATTTTAACTGTTGGGGTGAAAAGAGAGCTCTGGATTTTCAAAATGTCTTCCCTTTATCAGGGAGTGCTGGTATGGGATATGACACCCAGACAGATCTTCCTTGCATCTTCTTCAATTTAATAAATCCCCCGTAATTTACCTTTACAAATCGGACATAGTCCCCAAGCTGGCTATAAAAACTCAGTACAGTGGCAAGTTCTATACTCCACTACAAAAATGCTAACAAGTAAAAAACACAGATTTGTCCCTCCCATCAAGGTCATCTTAGCTGGGAAATGCTAGAATTCAGGTTTTTTAAAACAAAAAACCACATGCACTGCTCCTGTATCTCAGAGTCAGGTGGACAGAACTGGGACAGGGTCAAAATAAAGTAATGAAAATTTTGCATTATGATGAAATGCTGTAATAAAAAAACAGAGACAATTTAGATTTTTATCCCTCTCACCAGAAAATGAACGTATGAGGCCCTACAGGCAGCACATAGTATGGCAGACTCTTGATGAACTTATGTGTGTAAAGAGGAGAAAAATATGACAACAGCTTATCTCTATGGCTATGAACTAAGTTTATTTACTGGGAAATATCTATTAGTGAGTAACCTCCTAAGAGTCTCTACAGGTATTAAATGTCATTGGAAGTATCAAATCAGTAATTATTCCAGTAACTTAATAATAAATGCAACAATCTAGGAAACTGCGAACTTTGTGCATGACTTGTTTTGCCCTGTGCTTTGCTTTGCTGTATGCTTGGGCACTAACTCAATGGAAGCCATCAAAAAGTTGTGGAAAATACTAGCAGAAAAGTTAGTGCAGTTATTCAGATAAAGAGGACTCCCTCAAACACAATTGCCAGCTTGAGAGACCCAAGAAGAGACTCTTTAGTCCCTTCCAAAGTGACATAGTTGTTTTGCCAAGCCTGGAGGGAGGAAATAAAAAAAAAAAAAGGAGCTAGACCCAAGGTTTAGGAGGGGGAAGACGTGGAGGGCACTCTAAACATAAGGTGGGTACTGGGACCATTGCAGGGTATTTCTCCTGTCTCATAGATTGACAATAATCTGGAGACACCTGAGCTATGAAAGAGAGAGGCCAAGGACTGAAACGAAACGCGCGTGTGTGGGCTCTAGTTCGTAGATGTGATGATTTTATACCCTATTTGATGCTTCAAGGTATCAAAGTTAAATGGTCCTTTGTTTTAAAGGAATTTTTTACTCATTTTAGCCAGCTGCTGTCAAAGGGGAAGCCAATTCATGTTAGACCCGTGGTCTCTTATGGATGAAATTGAGGAGCTGGACTCCAGTTTCCAGCTGGTTTCAGAGAACTGCAGAATTTCTTGAGAGCTGTTAGAGGTGAAGGGCTGAAGCCCCACACTGCTGAGGTGTAGGCAGAGGGAAATACAAGAAGGAAAAGCGCAGCTGACCTGGTAACTGTACTACACATATAGCACATGTACAGAGCACCTCTATACAGCCCTTCACTCTGATTAATTTTCAAGTGCTTTAAACAGAGCAACTGCTAGTACATGCCGGTAGAGCATAAAGGCTTCACAGCCAGCATTAATCATTTGGGTCAGATTTGGCATTTGTGTCTTCTTTGAATAACCATCTCACAGACATTTTTCTTACAATCAAGGGGAGTTCAGTACGTTGTTGCAGTCCCAGCAGAACTTGCTTTCATAGCACAGTTTTACCAGGATGCTGAATACAACCTCTTAGCTGGTCAAGCTAGAGCCATGCTTCCAAGAAGGGGAGCCTGCAGCATGCATGCAGCGTGCAGTAATGCATCAGACTTGTGTCCCTGGGTGAAATGCCTTAGAAATTTTGAGATGGTCTGATTCCATGTGTAGTTTTGAAAGTCATTCCCAAAATATCCAGCCAACCTCTTACTTGCCTCAAGCATAAATTGGGTGGAATTTGAAACTCCTCTTTGCTTGCTCACTCAAATAAAACCAAACAATTCTAAACTGTATTTCAGGGTGTGAGACCCCTGACAATGACCTGAATTAATATGCAATAGGGGAGCAGTCAGGCATTGTATGTTACAACATTTCATCACTACTACTCTTGGGTGTCCAAAAGATACAGACTGTGCTTCCTTGCTCCCTGATCTAGGGAATATGAACAGAACACTTTTGATGCTCCACTGTCTTACAGTCCTAACCATACAAATAATAACTCCAACAGCTCTTACTGGGAATACTCATGCTTCAGTCAGAATGTCTGCTCGTGGCAATAACCACTTGTAAGATGAAGCCTTACAAAGAGTACAGAGAAAGGGCTGCAGGTGTGGGTAACACGCCTCTTCTCCATTTCAGCGCACACAGAAGGTGATGTTGAACAGCGCCACCCTCCTTAATTGGCCAATTATACTAAAGTTCCATCTATAAATGGTTTAGAAAAAATTAATAAATAGTAAAGCATGCTACAAACACG